CTAAAACCTAAACCCTTAAGCCTTAGGGTGAGGTGATTAACCACCAGAGAGTTGCTGCATTCGGTCTGCCAGGCGCTGCGCGGGCCCGGCTCTCCTAGTTGGAGCTTAGCAGGGGATGAGTTTAGGGTTTGGGGTTTAGTGCTGAGAGTTTAGGGATGCAAGCTCGAGGGCACAATGCACAAACCCTCAGGGGACAACGGCAAACTTCCTGAACGGATCCCTATAGGAGCTCCTATATGCCATAGAGTACATACAAAATTTTGCTACATTATACTAGAAGAATAATCTTAGCAATATCGGAGGCTTCCAACAATCAATTAGGGGTATCGTGTTCGGGGTGTAAAGGATAGTAATTAATTTGGCTCTATAGCCCCTATGAACATCCTCCAACCCGGACTGAGCACCAACAAGTTGCCATTCTGGCCCGGCCAACTCCATAGCTTGGAATGCACAGGTGTATGCTACAGCATTCGGGCGATAGCTGCGCACCAGCCTGCCAAAAACTTGCAGAGCCCGCTGCCACTGTCGCACCCTGACATAAGAGCTCATGACTGAGCAGTATGTCAGGATGTTTGGAGTGATGTCAGAAGGCATGTTGTCCAAGATCAGTTCAGCCATCTCCCAGGAAGACCGGCATGCAGCGACTACAGAGCTGTAGGTGAAGACGTCAGGCTTCCTTCCAAATCTCATCATGTCCTCCTCCAGGGATCTATGAATTGATGACATCTACCTACCACAGTAGCGGACCCTCCGCGCTTACAACCCAAAACAAGCCTGAGCTTGAGTAGCCTTTGCGGACTGGCTATAAGGCTTACATAGGAATAATGCGTCTTGCTTGCATCTAACATCCTGATCCCTCATTCCCCAATCTACTTGAAAAAACATCTCTGCACTGTAGGACCTCAATGAAAACACATAGGCCCTGAACTCTTAAAACAATCTGCTCGGAACCTTATGGAACTTAGTAATTCTTACGAATTGCGCATGAATTGCCTAAACGGAGCCAGTTTTTTTTCCTTATTTTTTTTGGTTTTTCTTTCCCTATT